TCGGCTCTGTATTTCGACGTCGACTGACGGAGAAGAGGTACGTGGACGGTGTCGTGCGGAGGAGTAGCGGCGGATGTGGAACAGCGCTCATTGATTAACATGACAGACAAGTAATCTGCACGACCTATGTGAGCGGTGAACTCTGACGGAGTATGTGGAATCTGGGAGGTTAGGCTGATCACTCCATGTGTTAAGTTTGAGCTAAATGCCGTTGCAGACAGCTAACCAAAGTCTATTTGAATAATGAGTCAGATTTCAGTACGATACAGAAGGCATTCTGACCCACACGTTTACATCACCATCTAAAACCTTTAATGACTCATAAAAAAAACCCAACAACTGCTCCGTATTATGTTTAATTATTAGGAAATGCTTCCTGTGATTTTTTTTCTTTGCTTCTATATTTGCACATATAAAAAGTGATTAGTTTCCAAACAGTGGACGCACCATGAATCATTTTAAACAGTGTTTACATTTGATGTGTCCTCGTGGCTTTGAGTTCAGAAAAGAGATGCCACACCCTCATAAAAGGTACCTGCTCGAGGTGTTTTCTAAACGCTTGGGATTACACTCCCTCACTTCTCTAATCAACCCGGATGTTGATTCAAACTGTTTGCCGTCGGGCACCTGTTAAGGGTGGATCCTATAACTGAAAAGCAATAATGCACCCAAAACACGGGTGCATTAATGGCTGAAAACTTCCTGAGGTAGAAACATTAAGACCATTTAACAGTTCAGACTTTCCATGTCTGTTGCTTTATATTTACAGCTAAATATATGACAGAGTTGGCCGATTATATTTTCCCATTTTTGTTCAAAGATCCTAACCTGTTGATTTGGATGTTTGCCCAATTAAGATTTTCCTTCCAATACTTATGAGAAGAATGTAATCTATGTTCTTTAATATTCTTTGATTAGAGACACTTGTTTTTGATCCAATAGAAATAGATTTTTTTTATACAATTAATCAACAAAATGTTCACCTCAGTCCTTGATCTACGTCGTTTGACTTTAAATAGTGAATCAAAGTAAACAGGGCTTGTTAACGCTGCTATAGAACAAAAATAAAATTCTCAGTTTTAATGCCAAAATAAGGGAATTTAGATTTTTTTGCAATTAGAGTTGATCAAGAGAAATCCAGATAATCCCTCCTAATCTAGATTGACTTTTTATGGTCATTAAACAATTCCTATTCAGAATTAAACTTTTCCTTATTCTGACCCCACTGATTTTTAATTCAGGCTGCTCGGTGGGCAGTGGGGAGCACTGCTGTCATTGCAGCAAGAAGGTTCCGGATTCGATACCTGGTCAGGGGTCTTTCTGCATGGAGTTTGCATGTTCTCCCTGAGCATTTGTGTGTTCTCTATGGGTACTCCGGCTTCCACCCACAG